AGCGCAATATTCAGCCAAGATGACCCCAAAGAAGGCCCCAAACTTGCCAACCAGGCCTCCAAAACTGCCCCAAGACGGCCACAGAGAGCTCCAAGATGGCCCAAAAGGGCCCCCAAGAAGACCCCCAAAGACCCCAACAAAGGCAACGAGGGGCCAAAACATAGCCCAAGAGAGCCCCAAAACGGAAAAGGGTCCTAAGGCAACCCAAGAGGCCACAACAACCCACAAGATGCCCGAAGAGGCACCAGCAAGGCTGGGAAGATGCCCCCGATACGCCCCCGGAGAGTGCCAAGTCGGCCCCAAGGAAAAAGATCACCTAGGGAAGAATAAGGAGGATAAGGAACACAAGGAGGATGATAATGATGATGATGAGGAGGAGGAGGATGAGGAGGAGGAGGAGGAGCGAGAGGGGAATGCAAAGCAAGCTAGGTGCGCTCGCGCCATATCTGCAATCCTTTCCCTCCCTCCCATCCCTTCCCATTGCGTTGATGTCTGTTTTATCCGCGGACTCGTGTCACAGCCGACCTGGAATTCCGCAGAAGCGCCCATCATGTCATGCGCTGTCGAAAGAGGCAAACTCGTGGGGCCTATGCGACATGGGGGACCTCTGTGGCCTATGGGGCCTGTGAGACCTATGGGACCCGTGGCGCAGGTAGTACCCGCTAGACCTGTGGGACCTGGGGGACTTGTCGGGGACCTGTAACACACGCGACACCGATGGGACCTGCGGGACCTGTCGGACTTGTACGACATGCGGGACCTGCGAAACGTGTGGGACTCGTCGGACCTGTGGAACCAACCTGTCCGACCGGTGGAACCCGTGGGGCAACCTGCGACACGTGTGGTTCCTGTGGGACCTGCGGTGCCTGCGAGACCTGCGACATCCAGAAGGATGGCCCACGCTGGGGCGGGAGCGCCACTCTGAACAACGGGAGCACAGCGCCGATCCGAGAATGAGGCCCACGTTGCACCGACGGCACCACTTGCAAACACGTCTGAGCAATGGGATGGCAGAGTAGCACGACAAGACAACTTGCGCAAATCCCCTGTGCAACAAATCAGGACGCGGAGGGATCGAGTCCAGAAAGCACGAGAAAGAAAAGCGAGCTCGCGCAAAACATTTCTTAAAAACACAATACGCGGAATGGGGGCCAGCTGTTGTCCAGTCATATTCGAGGGAGAGAGGGGGGGCGAGTTTTCATGTTGTGCAACTGTGGAGGATGCAGAGTAGAACAATAGAATGGAAGCGGAGGACGAGGAGGAATCGAGGCGGCAGAGGGGGGGGGGGAGAAGGGGGTGAGGGCAAGATCGTGACGACGAAAAAAACGGAAAACGGGCGGTCGCCACGCTGAGGCCTCACGCGCCCTGCACGCGCAGTCCGAAGGACGATAAGGGGGATCCACGAGCCGCCAAGCCGGGGGTGGGGGCTGGTGGCGACAGAGCGCCCAGCCCGTGGGATGTCTTGGACTTGCTGGGGGCTGCTACGGCTTCCTCAGCAAGCGAGGCAGCCAGGCGCCCAAACGGCGCATAGGCAGTACATAGCTACACATCAAGTGCAGACATTACCAGGATGGGTATGGGAAAGCGCACGCCGCCCACTGCAGCTTCGGGCGTCCACGTCTGCGCTTGCGGTACCACTTCCTCGGTGTGTTCCCTCCAGGCTCGAGGCGTGTGGACAACACCGCGGGATTACGCACGGGTCAGCTGGACTCTTGTGGGGGTCCTCGTGGAACTCCGATGGTTCGTGAGGGAACACATGGTATCACTGATATCCGGAAGAGATGTTCAGACAGCCTTCGGTCAGGATTCGATCTGGGCTCCTGACAATGTGCTTGAGCGCCCTTGCTGGCTGAGTGAAGAATTCTCACGTGGTATCGCTAACCGTGGACTTCGAGGACTCTCAACGGCGTCCTTCGGATCATGTCAGAGTGATGGGGCCGAACGGTCATTCACTGTCCCTGGGTGCGTGGCTGATGTGGAATTCCGCGGTGCGGATTCTGGTTGTTGTTGTTGTTGTTTGTTGTTGTTGTTGTTGTTGTTTGTTGTTGTTTGTTGTCGTCGTCCCACCCGCAACCCGCCCCGCGACCCACCCCGCGACCCACCCCGCGACCCACCCGCGACCCACCCGCGACCCACCCGCGACCCACCCGCGACCCACCCGCGACCCACCCCGCGACCCACCCCGCGACCCAACCCGCGACCCACGACCCCCGAGGCCCCCCCCGCGACCCACCCGCGACCCACCCGCGACCCACCCGCGACCCACCCGCGACCTACCCCGCGACCCACCCGCGACCCACCTTCGACCCAAACCACGTTCAAGGTATAAACCACAATTTTCGGCGCCTGCGGCGGGTTTTTTTGCATTCCTTCCAGGTGGAGAGCCCGCGACACATCCCGTGACCAACTCGCGACCTACCCGCGACCCAAACCACGTTCAAGGCACAAACCACATTTTTCGGCGCCTGCGGCGGGCATATTTTGCATTCGTTTCAGGTGGAGACCCCGCGGCCCACCCGCCCACCCCGCGACCCCCCCGCGACCCAACCCGCGACCCACCCCGCGCGACCCACCCGCGACCCACCCCGCGACCCACCCCGCGACCCACCCGCGACCCACCCGCGACCCACCCCACGACCCACCCCGCGACCCACCCCGCGACCCACCCCGCGACCCACCCCGCGACCCACCCGCGACCCACCCGCGACCCACCCGCGACCCACCCGCGACCCACCCGCGACCTACCCCGCGACCCACCCGCGACCCACCTTCGACCCAAACCACGTTCAAGGTACAAACCACAATTTTCGGCGCCTGCGGCGGGTTTTTTTGCAGTCCTTCCAGGTGGAGAGTCTGCGACACATCCCGTGACCAACTCGCGACCAACCCGCGACCCAAACCAAGTTCAAGGTACAAACCACATTTTTCAGCGCCTGCGGCGGGCATATTGTGCATTCGTTTCAGGTGGAGAGCCCGCGGCCCACCCGCGACCACGTTCAGGGTACAAACCACATTTTCCGGCGCCTGCAGCGGGCATCGTTTGCATTCGTTCCCTGTGGAGAACCCGCGGCCCACCCGCGACCCAAACCTCGTTCCGTGTACAAACCAATTGTTTTGGCGTTTGCGGCGGGCTGCTTTTGCATTCCTCCCAGGTGGAGGTGGAGAGCCCGCGACCCACCCGCGACCTAAACCACGTTCACTGAACAAACCAATGCCGCACAAGTGCGGCGGCGGATTCTTGCATGCCGTCTGAGCCCGTAAGGACCTCTTCACGCCCCGCGCATCCACGCCAGCCCGTCCAGCAACTTTGCCCTGGCGAGTTGCCTTGATCAGAGAAGGCGGGGGGCATAAAGTGGGGAAAAAAGATTGCGTTGCAGTTATCTTGGGAAAGGAGGGGGAGGCAGGATGAGTAAACAGGGGACGAGGAGAACGTGGAAGAAGAGAGGATGTAAGGAGAACGTGGAGAAAGAAAAGGAAGAGGAGCAGGAGGATGAGGGGGAGGAGGGGGAGGAGGGGGAGGAGGAGGACGAGGAGGGGGAGGATGGGGAGGATGATGATGATGGACGACAATGGGAGGACGATGATGGAAGCCGATGAGGGGGAGGACGACAATGGGAGGACCATGATGAAAAGACGAGGGGGGGAGAGGGAGGACGAGGAAGAAGAGGAGGAGGAGGACGAGGTGGAGGAGGAGGATGACGATGACGATGAGGACGAGGAAGAGGAGGAGGAAGAGGAGGAGAAGGAGGAGGAGGAGGTGGAGGAGAGCGCCATCGACAAGGAAGGTGGGGGCCACGAGGCCCGCCGGCTCGACGACGCCCGCGTCGCCCGCGCCCGCCCCCTCACTCTTATCCGCAATTGCGGGGTGCTACGTAAATATATCCGTTGCAACGTGGCATCCGCCATTCGTTGTTCTGCGTCGTTTTGTGCGATGTCCTTCACGTGCCTGGCATGGCAGCAGGACGCTCACACTGCGTTCGTGCGGCGACCCTGCGCCAGAAACATCGCGGCCACGCTGCTTGCCAGACTGTCCGCACTGCCAGCATGTCTGCCTTTGGGTGCAGAAGGCACACGCGGAGCGGAAGGGCAGGCCAATACGGGGGGCTGGTAAGGATACAGGGGGCCGAACAAGGAAGCGTAGGAGGGGGGGGGGGGGGGGGCAAGGGGCAGGCACGGGGTGGTCGAAGAAGGGAGGCTGGCATACGAGGCGGGGAGAGGTGGAGGAGCACTTTCATGTAGGACTCGCTGTTGGTACCACGGCCTTTCGGCCGCGTTCACGCCCCAACGCGGACGAGCAACCGCCCCGCCGAGGGGGGGGGGGCGGGAACGCACGGAAAGGAGAACCCCCCGCAGAACCCGTGATATAGAAAGCGCAGGACTTAGCTGGAGATTCTCTAGCAACCTTCTACCATAACCTCTTTAAAATATTGGAGCATGGCCCCAACGACCTCCAATATGGTTTCCGATGCCTCCCATATGCCATGCTATAGCCAAGTACGACCTCCGATATACCCCAGATGGTCTTCAAATTGCCCAAGGTGACATATAAGGTTGCCTCCCACGAACGATCGAGAGTATAAAATGCTGTGTTTCGACTAGATGTGACCTCTTTTTGACTCTTCTCCAGAGATGCCCGTCTGAATGACAACCGATGACACCACGCCGGCTCTGGGAGGCCCCATTATGACTGCAGTCCGACCCGTCCGAGTTCGCCCGAAAGGTCTCCCCCGACCCTCGCAGCCCCCACCTCCCTCCCCACATTCCTGTAAGCTTGCTGCCACAGGCGGTCTAGCTTACCCCCAACAAGCCCCAAGGTGCGCAAGAGGTCCCAAAAATCATCCCACGCCAAACCCACAATTAGAGAGAGGGTCTGGCACCACCGGGGCAAACACCGCCAACAATCGTCATATGTATGCGGAAGTCTACCGGAACTCAGAAACTCAGAAACGAGAAGCGCAGAATCGGAGACATGATGTGGACATTTGGCTGGTTGAAATGACTCCTTGCGACGTTGCTCCATCATAAGCGTATCCATGTCGGGCTGCGCCAACTTCAAGACCTGGACCCTCACCATCCCCCTCCCATTGCCCATCCGTCTACTCCTTCGGGCAACCTGGCCTCTCGAGGTGAAATCGCCGAAAGACAAATACCCAAAGGCGGCTCCGAAAGCGCGGAACTGGCACAGGCACTGCTACACGAGATCTGAATATTTCTACACGCTAACTTGGCCAATTGTTCCTGCAACTTGACCGCTGCATCTCGCGGCAACGACGATGCGAATAGGGTACCTACCAATCTCTTAAGAGAAAGTCGCATTTCATGATGGGGTCTTCGACGCAAGAAGAAGGCCAGGCGATAAAGGTGGAAGGGGAGGCGAACGACGAGCCAACGAAAACCTGTTAAGCAACGGACAATCGGATCCGCCAGGCAGCGGTGAGCGATTCCCCTGCCAATAAACCGAAAGAGCCTGTCCGTTTCGAAGCTGTCCACCACAGAGAAGCATGATTGAAATACACAACGATCCTTGCATTAGTTCAGTGGCTTAGCGGCTACAACAACGGCGAGGCGCAACCCTGGCGAATGCCTTTGGGCAAGGGTTGACTTGAACGTGGTGGAATGGTTTAGATCGCATGTTCGTTGAGAACCGTTGCAGTGACAGAACATGCACCGACCCTCCAACGCGACACGTCAAATTTAACAACGGCTTCCCATAACAAACCATATTACTCAAAGGAAAGCCACATCAGTGTTTTTGATCACCTGTTCGCACTCGCTCCTCACCTGGACGCTCTCTCACTCTCCCTCTCTCGGTTCTCTTTACCCGATATGCCCTCCCAACTCGCCCTGCACCCTACTACTTAATGCAGTTCTATCCTTTCCCTTTCTCTCTCTCTCTCTCTCCCCCAGTTTCATTCGATTTCTCTCTCTCTCTCTCGTTCTCGATCGCTCTCTCTCTCTCTCTCTCACTCTCTGTCTATCTCTCTCTCTCTCTCCTCCCCCCTCAACTTGACGCTGTAGTCTTTCATGCAAACTCACTTTGCGTACGCTATACGTTGGGTTCTATCGCATGTTGCCTCCTCTCTCTCTCTCTGTCTTTTCTCTCTTCCCCCATGTTCAGCTCCATCTCCGTCTCCCCATGAATACATGTTAATCTAATGCCTGCCAGCACATGTCCAATCACATCGGCCACTCGTAAATGGAACATGCGCACAAACATACATGTATACATATACATATACATACATGTATATATGTATATGCATATATGTGTTTACCGATTAGTGTTTACACGTATTCATGTTTTACCAAGGACTCGGTCAGCCCAGCCGAAGATTTACCCACGCTTCGGCGGTGGACAAACCTCCCTTTAGTAGACCTCCCCTTAGTAGTGAAAACGGCCTGTGACCGAAACCGACGGACCTGGACCCGCAAAAATAACGGCCGCGACGCCCTCTCGCGAACGGGAAACGGCCAATTCCTTAATCGACGTGTCAGGGTAGGAGGTCTGTCCAACCCCGAACGTGGCCGCCTCGTGGCCGCCTCGTGAACCGGGCGGGTCCGGCGGGAATCTTCGCCACGCTGTCGCCCGGTGGCCGCCCGGTGGCCGCCTCTCACGCGACGGGTGGACCTCCGGCGAGGTCTCCCGACGCTGCCGCGTCACTCTCGCCATCGCTCGGACGTCCATTCCCTGTGCTCTTTTCGGTTTCGTGCGTGGTGTTTTCGCCAAGTGATCTATAGGATGCTCCTCGATGGTCCTCGCCGAAGGAAAAATGCACACGTTCGAGCGATGCCAGGTCTCGTGGCCACCTCGCGCACTGGGTGGATGACATGAATTTCCACCACGTTGCCTCCCATGTCCGCCTGGTATATCCTCTTCTGGATAGCAAATCCCCCCCCCCGGATTATCCGCCCCCCCTGGATCAGTGCAATTCACATTCGATTGTGCTCCATTTTTCGTTTCAAACCTGAACTTGTACGATTCCAGCCAGGCCTGTATCGACCCCCTCTGCGCGCTCCCGTTTTTAAGCAATCATCAGCTTTCAAAGCCGACACACGCGAGTCGTCGCGCGTACATGTCAACATTCTTCAAGCTAGGTCCCGTTGGAATTTCAAGCCTGAACTTGCCAAAACGTATCAACACACCAGCGACTTCGCACAATAGCTGTTCAACAAAATGGGCGCGTGCGATCTTGTGAACCCTGCGGGAAGAAATATGTGTTTCTCAACGTGCGCACCACATGCGACAAAACGAGCGCATCTCGCGCGCGCGTGTCGAGCCCATTCGGGCGCCTTTCTGCTCGCGCTTGCTGGGGGGGGGCACGGTCCCGGTCAAATAATACAATGCGGGTCATTCGCGCGCATGTCGAAATTCGCCCCAAACCTTCATCACCGACAAATGCACACCACACCCGTCATCGGCGTGACCAACATTGGCGCCGTCAGCGACCGTGCCGTCTTCATCGGCATCATCGTCACCATCACCGCTACCATCATCAGAATGGTTTCCGCCGTTTTCGACTTCACCATGATACTGCGCCCGCCCAAATCACCGACTCGCAGTTGAGTGCCTGCGCGCCAGCGCGGCCTGCGAAACGCGCTGGGCATTCCCAATATGTGTGCCGCGACGGTTGTGCCAAACTAGCTGGCCGCCGAGCGCGCGAGTATGCGCGCGCCAGCGCGGCCGCAGAGGTGCACCAGCCAGCACCAAGCACACATCGCAGTCGCCACCGTATGGGTTTTGCAAACCAACATGCGGATGGGTGGGTGGGATGCTTGCGCGAGAGGTGGAATTGACAAATCAAAGTTCTGCAAAATTAATTGCACCACGTGGCTTACTGAACACATATATTCTCCGTTCTGGAATGACATTAGGTTCTACCACCCTCCCCCCCAGGGGGTAAAGACCCTCCGGGAACCGATGCAAAACACATAGGATTCTGACCAAATGTCAATCATACCTGTGAAATCATACTATCCCAGCCAAGCCGGTATCGCCCCCCCCCCCCGCCACCCTCTTCAAAAAATGCTGTGCGCGCGCACTCGCTTATCAAAAAACATGGTTTTCAAGAATCCCTTGCAAAAAAAACGAGGTGCACACGCGCGCGTCTTCGCGCGCGCATGTCGAAAGCCTTCAAGAACCCTCGGTTTCGGAAGGATTTCAAAATAGAGCTCCCAAACAACAAAGAACAACACAGGGTTTCGCAACACGAGTTTTCAACAAAAACGTGCGCACGCGCACTTGCATCGTCGTCGTCGTCGTCGTCCCTCCTCCCTCGTCGTCGTGATCGTCGTGGCCGTCGTCGTCCTCTGTCTTTCCTCGTCGTCGTCGTCGTCCTCTTCGGCGTCGTCGGCGTCGTTTCCGTCATCGCTGTCGCCGTGGTCGTTCTTCCTCCTCCCTCGTCGTCGCCGTCGTCCGTCGTCGGCGTCTCGTCCTCGTCCCTCCTATTTCGTCGCCGTCGTAATCGTCGTCGTCTTCCCTCCTCCCTCGTCGTTGCCGTCGTCGGCGTCGCCGTCCTCCCTCCTTCTTCGTCGTTCGCGTCGTCGCCGTCCTCCCTCCTCCCGCGTCGTTGTCGTCGTTGTCGCCGTCATCGTCCTCCCTCCTCCCTCGTCGTCGTCGTCGTCACCTTCGTTGGCGACGTCGTCGCCGTCGTCGTCTTCGTCGTCGTCATCGTCGGCGTCGTCGTCGTCTTCGTCGGCGTCGTCGTCGTCGGCGGCGGCGTCGTCGTCGGCGTTGTCGTCGTCGTCGTCGTCGGCGTCGGCGTCGTCGTCGCTGTCGTCGTCGTCGAAGTCGTTGGAGACGCCGTTGATGTCGTCGTAGTCGTTGTCGGCGGCGGCGGCGTCGTCGTCGTCGTCGCTGCCGTCGTCGGCGTCGGTGTCGTTGCCAAGTGCCATGTGGTGCCTACCGTCACGGTCTTAAGAGGTCTTGCGACCAAGTTGCTGGTGGAAGCGTGGGATGTTTGCACGAGCAGTGGAGAGGACAGCTTCAAGTTGAGCCAGTGATTGATTGCACCACATAGCTTTCACATCGGCAATTTACTAACTTACTGGTTGGGTCGGGCTCAGAAAGGGTCGCGGGTGAGTCGCGGGTGGGTTGCGAGGTGGGTCGCAGGATGGGTCGCGGGTAGGTCGCGGGCGGGTCGTTGGCGATGACGACGACAAGCTACCAACACAGCAAACATGATCCGCCAGACGGAACGCCACTTCTGCCGGCCACCAAGGGACAATGAATGACCGTTCGGGACCCTCACACTGATGAGCCTGCTGACATAGCCGCGCACCACATATATATAGAGAGAGGGAGGGAGAGAGAAAGTGCTAGAGATAGATGAATATGTAGACATGTGAACATCCATATGTGCCACCATAATCGCACATACTCTCTTTCCCTCACCCTCTCTCCCCAATCCGTCTCTCCCTCTCTCTCTCTCTCCCCACCCCCTCTCTCCCTAATCCGTCTCTCCCTACTTGTAGTGCTGTTTTCTCTCTCTCTCTCTCACTCTCTTTCTCACACGCTAAGTGTTGCTACACTGCTGTCTCGATCTACCCTCTGAAATTGTGCCCTCGACTCGCTCGTGCATCTATGCATACCCTCTCTCTCTCTCTCTCCCCGTATGTACGACTCATTCTCGACGATCCAATACACCAGTCTCACCGCAATCACGAAAACCTGAACACTTGGCCGCAACCAAGAAATCGAGACTCAGGGGGCCCAGAACTGGGGACCCAGGAGCTCAACCACGCCCACCGAAATCGGTCCAGAAGCTGGAACCGACAAACCAGGAGCGGTCACCTTAACCTACTCTGTCAATATCCAATATTACCCCTTCCGTGCAAACGCTGATGAGGGAAAACCCATTCGGCCAGGTGCCCATGCCAAGAGTCGAAACGCCAGAACAAAACTGCCGAAGGTACATCCGATAACAAAACGAACAACCTCATGCTACCAGGGTATCCGACATTTGCCAGGTAACGCACACTGGACTTCAACAACACATGACAAACACGATTGGGCTCCACTGGTTGTTGAGGATGCCAACGCAGAGCCCTCCAGGCGCCCCTGATGTGA